ATGGGATATTGGAATCTATAAAGCTCACGAGGTATGATAATTATTCAAGAGAATGTAATTTGTGTATATTTGTCACTGGCGTTTGGAAGATCTAGTATCTGGGATAGAGAGTCCAGATATCCCTAGACCAGCGCCAAGTTATTGTTCAAAATATAATGGTAAAATAATTTTCAATTTCATGCCTCTCAATCGGTACTCGTGATGTGGCTCTCACTGTCTGCATGTCAGTCATTGATGACACCTTCCATGGCGTCCTCGACTTCCGAGAGGAAGCTCGTCGCGAACCCTCGCCCATCCTGTACCTGGGACGAAGAATACGGCTATTGCCAGGCCAGAGCCGAGTTCTCTATTTGGAACATAATGATAGGACTTCTCTCCTCATGTTTGATGGACGACGCTTAGTGTCTGATTTTTCGTTCGCTTCGTTCAAAGACAGAACACATCTCCATCGGGAACTCTCTGGAATCCCACATAGCGCAAGAAGCTCAGAGAAGAAATCTCGCCCCGTGCACGGTAGCTGGCCGGGAGACAATGCTTTGCAGCAAGCTTGGCCGCTTTATTCTCACTGTACAAGATATCGAGGGAAACGTCGCAATGTACCCTGTATATCCTTGAACTCTGGCCAGGCCGAACCTCACCTACCCGTTGCCTTCTCGGGAACCGACAGCAGCCTCCATCTGCATGCCGGGCAGCCGCATCCTGTCCCATCTGACAGGTCGTCTCCCCAGATTTGTCGTATCACAATGTAATCGTCGACCGAGGTCAACTCACACATAGCTCACATCGTGAACTTGGGGTACCAGTCTCGTATCAACAGCGGTGGGGCGAGTACCGCGTCAGATCGGGACGAGCATCTCGGCCTCCGACTCCAAGAGTGTCCTTCTAGCCACTGTGCCCCTGTTAGGACAAAGCATCTTCGGATGGGATGTGTGCACTGCCCAGTATTGAAGGGATGGCCTCATCAGTGGTCGGATCAAGCTGCTGAGTAAATCAGCTCCTGGCGGCGAGAGAAACCGCTCATGTCGTTCGTCAAGAGCGTGCGTGTGCTCGGACGAGTCACCAAAGCTTCAATTCGAACGACGAATATTCCACGTCTTCATTTGCCACCCCGCGGGAAGTTTGCACCCTGATGTAAATCTCTCTACTCAGCGACAGCATGTGAACTGGGCAGGCCTAGACTCAGAGTGCCAACCAGTTTTACCCAACCGCATGTGAAGCTTGAGCCCATGACTCGTCAGCCGCCATCCCATCAAGAGTCCGAATCTAACACCATCCATCTGTCACCCGATGGGAGGTCAAAGCAACGGCAGAAGTCGTTCATCCAATGACAGCAGCCAGATAACCCAGGAACGGATCTCAGTCGATGCGCAGAAGAATAAGAAAACCAACAACGTAGCTAGCCGCAGAGGGGGTGGGAAGGGACCGTGAGGCCAGGAACCAGGAGCGTGAGCGAGAAAAAGCAACGGGACCGGGTATTGGCGATGCAGGCGGCTTTGTGCCTCGTGCCTGGAAAAGACCTGCTGGCGCAAGGCGCCTATTGCTTCTCTCATAGACTCATAGTCTAATACCTCACGGAAAGATAAGGTAAGATGCAGGTCGACGCCCCCTTCGGTCCCGACCAACGACTTGACCCGGGCGATGGACGCACTAGGGGCGCGCCGGAGGTTTATGCCTGGCCATAGTCATGAAATGGATCGGTCGGTAGGTCGGTCGGCGGGTGAAGGATGACTGCATGGACTGTTAGTTGTAGCGGAGGGCAAAACCGCCCACTCACACATCAATATCAGTCCTCATCGGCAGCGTTGGCATGTGTGTTCGAAACGAAACATGTCAGCCAGCGCAGCCACGGCCGTCTCTCAGCGCATGCGTTGGCTGCATGTCACGACAGGGGAGTTCCTGCGACATGCGCAGGTAGCCGAATGATGGAGACTATGATCTCGCGGATTCTCGTGGTGAGAGGCACCGGCCAACAAGGTCTGTTGAGCAAGACTGCAGTGCTTCCAAGGGGATGGAATACTCTAGCTACTCTGACTAGAGAGGTAAACTGCTCTACGGATAGCAGTGTCTTCGGATGCGAGCCCATGCACGTCTGCATGTTGTGCGCCGCAATGGGGACAGCTCGCAGGCTACTGCGTGCGCATGCATGACGCTATTTATGCGTCTCGTTGTACACTTTTAGCCCAGCTGGCCAGCGACGGTCTTCCAGCGTCAATACGGAGAGAAAACGGTGCATGGCGTGAGCCGGTCGGCCGTAAGTCGTTGTATGTGGGAGGAACTCGAGACTCGAGGGATGTTTGCGTGGGAGAGAGAGGCTTCATCCATCGTCGGGGGCCGCGTTGGTGCAGTTGCTCAGACACCGAGGTAAACCCTTGTAAAAGAGCGGTGAGAGTGACACTACGCCGGTAACAAAAGACAGGTTTGTTGGAATGTGGCCCGAAGCGCCTTGACTCTTGACCAGACACGCCAGAATGAGGGAAAAAAAAGACTCTGTCCTCAGGGATGGGCCTAGCTTGATAAATGACCAAGCCAAGGCGGCGTGCAGCGTCTCTCGCAACCTCTAGATCTGCATGGGGCGAACGATCATGGACAACATTGTTGTCTCTCGCTCGCCGCTGGTCTCGCCTTTCGCCCTGGCCAACAAGACGGTGTGGACTATCCGTGTTCCGTGCCTATATCAAGTCAACCTAGTGCAAGGACGAGCATTGATCGCCTTTGCTGTACTGAGTATGTATCGCGATCGCAAGTGGGCATGCAGCAGCCAACGCGGGGCAGTTGACACGAAGCATCGACAGGTAATTCTGGTGGGGATGAATCAGCTGTGGAGCAGACACTGATCTGTGGTAATCACCGGTAACTGCAAGCGTGGACGCTGATTTAGGATATCACGCAGCATGGAGTTCGTTGGGCAAGCCTCAGTAAAGCAAACACCGCTGCGGCGAGTATCCAGTCCTTGATTTTCACATACTCCTCACAGGTGGTCTGGCCCTAGTTGCGGTTGCGAGGAAGAGGCGTGAGACAAGTAGTCTTGGACTAGTTTGTTCGCGAACCAGCACGAACCCCACGACCGTCACGATGTCTGCAGGGATCCAAGCTTCAGGCGTGCAAGCCTGCCAACGCGATAACAGAATTCTTGCGTGTCGTTCCCAAAGACTCTCCCATCCTGTGCCTGGAGGACAATGTGGCGTAGAATGTCGCACAAAGTTGATTCAACCCCGTGGCTACGGCAGCTCCCTTGCCTGGATCACAGGTTCGGCCATGTCTTAGACCTTGGGCGGTGAGATCCAAGCGAGCGGTCACTTCGATAGACTTTTGGGGACAGACGTGGCTGGTCGCGTTCAGCTGGCAAAAAGCACCCCTGAGCCACTGGATGCTTTCGGGGGAATTGGGAGCCAAGTGGCTGTGACAAAAGGTCTCGCGTCTTCCCCATGGCTTCCGGCACTCGACATACTTGGCAGGCAGGTGCTGGAGCAGCATCTTTGTCTCGACTGGACGGGCTGCCGGGTTTCGTAGTAGTTTGCTGAGGCTCCGTGGAACAACTCGAAATCCAGGCTTGGTCTCAGGGACTGTAACGATTCGAGTTGATGGTTGCTGAAGCTGTACAGATATGCAAACTACCACCGGCCAGAACCACACCGAGGATCCGAGCTGCATGAACAGGGTCGCAGTCGAGAACGGATATGCAGATTGTCCTAGTCGGGCCAAAGCACAACACTCGCAGCAGCGTGAGAGCAGTGCGGGTGCCAATGCCAATTCCAGGTACGGTTCGAGACTTCGAGTAAAGCGACCTGCATATGGCTGCAGGCTTCCACGCGCGTCTCCCAAAACGGTATCCCGTCTACTGCGTATCCGTAGGTAGTCACAGCGATCCTCCGGGCATCCCATCCCCCTCCCTCGTCGATTCGCATGCATCAGCGCCTACTGCTGTCTTCTGCACTTTGTTTGAAACGAGCCAAGGTGTGTCCTCGTGAGGGGGACTGCGAGGTGTGAGTGGGAGACAGGTCAGATTGCCCAACGCTCTCGTCATCCCCCATTATCAACCCGTCAATCTATAGTCGCTGATCCTGTGTTGGATGCGGAGGGGTGGCTGCGATTGTTGACCAAACAACGCCGCGGGATAAAGAATCTCAGTATGTACTCTGCAGAGCTCGACGATAATGGTACAAGGAGACGCCTTGCTCGAGTCCCAGCTGCAGACTCATGTTGGCGCCAGTGACCCGTCGCTCGATGCATTCCAATCACAGCGGCTCCAAGCTTGCGTCCTTGGAAGAGCGGGCGGGATCTCGCCCTGAGTTCTGATCAGCGATCCGATGCTTGCCCGCCCATTGTTTCCGCTGACAGGCAGTAGTAGCCAGGCGCTAGGCTGGCTACGTGCCGGCATCTTCCCAGCAGGCCGTTGACACGCGAAGCCAAGGGGCGGGGATTCCGATGCATTGTTTCATCCGCGCAGAGTCTAAAATTCCTCATTCTCCGAGCAGCGAGTATGGACGGCCAGGAGCCAGGATCATTTGGTGGGGGCTGCCACGCATTGGCTGACCTGAGCTGGGCCGTTCAGATTGACGTAGATACTTCGTTCATGGCCGTCACTCTGGGCCAACTGGGAGACGAGGTCGGCATCACCTGATCAGTCGGATCAGACATTTACTGGACCCTCTATCGGTTGTTTGCGTCGAACATTGAAAATCAACGTCGTGCTATGCGACACTTTACGGTGGCTGTGAGCTGATGCAGCGCTTGGCGGCGCAGCGCAGCGCAGATAAGCAGACGCAACGTCGTGAGAGTCATCTATGGAGTTCTAAATTGTCGGTGCGCCTGATGAAGAGGACGACAGAGGGAAAGTGAGCGATACGCCCGGTGACGAATGAGGAGTGCTGAGTTGTCCAGCATTGATGGGCGCTTGGGGATCCGCCAAAGTAATCTAATCAACGAAGCCGACAACGAGCCAAATATTGTAGGATTTCCGGACAGCATCTCGACTTTGAAAGAAAACGGTCAGTGCTGATCTACCTGTCCAGCGAGGACGACGATTCAGCCCTTAAAATGATACGGGCGACGAGTTCAATGGCGGCTTGGTAAAGAATTCTTAAGCGTCGCGCATGATGACATAGGGTCTTGGTGATCTTCAGCAGCGTCGGTGGAGCGGCATGGTGAGGAATTCTGCGATCTGTCAGTGAAGATCGGCGGGCATCCTTGCCCTCCACGCCCCCTCTGGCCAGCGAGCCGCGCCAGCCTTACTCTAGAAGATAGGGCATAAGAATCAGCGTCGTGGTGTCCCTGCGGCCATCGCCTACCAGTCCAGGACCAGGGCTGGGTGGCCAGCCCCCCGCGTTCGGTCAAGTGCGGGGCAGTAACGTAGGGCATCGGCAGGTTTCCACCCATCCCGAGCGTGCTGTGGTACGTCCTGTGAATGCAGGTATGCAGGCACGAAGGGTGCTGAAGCACATCGTGGAGAATGCGGCTGGAGTTTGTGCGTGCGTATCGCAGACGGGCGAGCTGCCTATTCTGTCTGGCTGATAAACAAATAGCAGGTTGGCAGGCAAATGTATCTTCGCGACGAGCGAAAAATCGAAGTGTACCAGTAGCCAGAATATGGCTGCTAGGAAGACGCTCCTGTGTGGGTGATGAGAGCTGGCGATGAGGGCGACTGAATCATTCCAGACCGCAAGGCGAGGATAATGTCGGTGATTGATTGCCGCGCACACGTCTGGCGCAGGATCGCGACTCGGTAAGCTGGCGTTGTGTTCGAGGCCGAAACATTCGGGGCTAAGTTCGTCGTTGGCTGTAAACGTCGGATCGATTGTTGTACCGTGGCAGTGCCATGTTGAATGCGATGTTGACGAGATGGTGGGGAAGCTGGATAGCGACCGGCTTTCATCTGCCGGACTGTAACTCCCGCCCGGAGATCGCGAATGCGATTGAGCTTGAGGAACAATACCTCGCAAAGAGCAGTTCATTTCAAAGAGCCAAGAGGAGATTTTCAGCAGTGTTTCCTTGGCGTGTATGCATTTTGTGTCGAAATTGCTGGCATCGTCCCAAGGATGATTGAGCATTCGGCGTGGATTTCCGATTGACGATGGTTTCTTCGATAATTGAACCCGGGTAGACATCTCGAGGCTAGATTCAGGTACAGGGGTACGCAGCTCCCACGGTGGTTACCTACGGGATGGTTGTCACGGGACGAGTACGGATCCTATCGGGTGGTGGTGATGAGATGTGACGGCAGCGACTTTTGTGTTTTTTGATGGTGTTCGTCCGGGGTTGGACCTGGTCGGTGTTAGGGCCTGGGTCACACCGAGCTCGACTGTGGCCGGGCAAGGGAGGGCCGCCCTTGATGGCTGAGGTCGAGAACGGGTGCCTGGTCTCGGTCTCCCAGACGAGGGGCTCGCAAGAGAACCACAGAAAGTATTGTGTGGCGATGCTCCATTGTCGCTATGATGCCAACATGATTGGCGAGAGTTGAAAAGCCCGTCACTCCCGTCCTTCTCCTAGCCAGGCGGTCTGGTCTGGTGGTGGTGTCCATCCAAGGGAAGGGCCCGGTGAGAGGGTTGTGAGGGTGTGCCAACATAGAAAAAGTACGCGAGTGTGAGTGGGCTGGTGGGTTGGCGTGCGTCTGGCGTGCGTCTGGCGTGCGGCATCCCTTGAACCAAGACGAAGCCGCGAAGGAAGTTGAAGGAGGTAAGGCAGTCGTGTCGATAGTCAGAGATCAGAGACTATTGGTAGGTATTCGTGGTGTACGGGGTAGCTTGGGTAGAGCTGGAGGAATTCGATGCGTCTCAGGATGTTGGTCCGGCTGGAATGGAAAAATCGCTGCCGAGACGGAGCTGAAGATGTTGAGGATGGAGGTTGTGGTGGTGGTGGGTGGTGGTTGATGGTGGGTGGTGACAGACGGCAGATGCGGAATGGACGTTGGCAGATGGCAAATGGCAGATGGGTACGGAGGTACGGCGGGCGGTACGGAGGTACGGAGGAGAGGACACAACAGGGAAGGAGACAACGTGGGCAACGGCCGGGCATGCGGAATTCTCGGCTGTCAGTCTGAGACGAAAAGGGAGAGTCCAAACTGCTGGAGAATTTGGATGACTGGGTGATTACCTTCCCTTGGAATAAAGTACATTCAGGTACCTTACCTTACATAAGGTGGAAAATGCGAGATGGAAATGGAACCAAACAAAGACAGATGGAGCACCTTGATGAGCAACAATCTACGTCGGGCAAGAAAGAAACACCAGCAGTGGAAGCAACGATGTCGGTTCATTCCCGGCGCTGAGTGACCGTGCCTGGTCCTTCCTCTCCATTGATCAGACTCGTGGAGTCCGGCCCCACTCAGTTTTAGCATCGCCTGCCTGTTCCTGTTCCTGATCTGCCATGTCACGTTCCCGTCGTGCCGGCCTTATGATGAAAAGGTAAGGCAGGCACAAGCTCAGAGTGCCCCGTAGCTGGCTCCTCCTTAGCCGGGACCTTCTTCAACAGTCGATCGCCGGCGGGAGAACATGGACGAGGGTACTTGTGAGGGACGCGAGGCAGGACTGAGAAGAACGTATCAACAGGTACCACAAATGGAGTGTCGTAAGATATTGAAGAGTAGTACCTTGGCTTAGTCGAGGGAAGGCAGGTACAAGAAACAAGGTACGAAGGTAAGGTAGACACGTGTGGTGGGCCACGACGGCACGAATAAGATGCACATTCTCGTCCGGTGACATTACTCGGCCAGACACATTTAATCAATATGCTTCCCGTGGCTTGTGTCTATCATCATGCGACCTACGGTTCGGCAAGATACCATCTTTAACACAGAAGTCGACCTAAGACGGAACAACCACTATCTGCATCTGCACCCGTGTACCTCACCTTAGCTGATGCCTGCGAAACGGAAGCGACGGAAGGGAGGAAACGCATTAAGGTCGAATGGGCCGGGGTTGAGGACTGGCACATGCCTGGTTGTCGCCTCCGGCACGCCGTGCTGTCCCGGTCTCCCGTTGAGAAAATCGCCCGTCTTGGTCCGTGTCGTCGTTCGCGGCTCGTTTACCTGGGATGAGGGGTTCCGCTCTACCACTACACCTGTTACCTTGACGTGGTTGACTAAGTGGTTTTGCTTATCGTCCGGATACTTGACGAGACACATAGCGACGCACATATATCCTCGATTAAGCATCGCAAGCCTTGTGAGCCTTGTAGAAAGGCATTTATATGTAAGGCGTATATCGGTACCAAGGGATATCTGTCTCTGCCAAGAAGCCTTAGCACATCGCGCCTTCCAGGTCCACCTCAGGTTGAAGACGGAACGGCGGCGCCTCGATTGCGGGGTGGATTCTCGCTTGGCGGGTGACGGGCGACGGACTGAGCGCACAGGCCCCGTGAGTCTTTCCCCTCTTGGCCATGGCTTTTTATAGAAAGGAAGGCCCCTGCCCTGGGCTTTGGGAAGCCTGGAAGACGTTGACAGGGCCACGACCAGGGACAGGCACGGGAGACGGGGGTGGCACTGGTGGGAGAGGAAAGAGTTGAGAGTTGAAGGTCACAGACGCCAGACGCCAACACCTGGTCCCCACTCTGAGGTGCCTGGGCTAAGGCGACGCTAGGCTGTTAGTGGTGGCTATTAAGACCTGAGGAAGCGAAGGTGCGAACAAAAGTTGAGGTGCTTACCTGAGAAGAGAGAGAAAAAAAAGAGAAGGCGGCCACTCAGGGCGCACCCAACCCCTCGCATGGTGCAGCAGGGGAAAAAAAAAAGAAGAGGGGCGGGGTGATGGAGGGGGAGGGGGAGGGGTGAGGGGCACAGTCCGTGTACCTTTCTCATGGCAGACACGGCCAAGGGGTGCATGCGACACATCATCCCGCCGTCGAAAAGGGAACTTGTGAGTTGCGACCGCCGACACCTTAGACAATGGACTCCGGGTCAGTCAGGTAAGCGCAACGGAACGGGTGTGATGGATTTTCAAGTCCGGCCAGGCTGGGAAGGCGCCTCTTGTTTCCAATTCCGTCTCCTTCTCCTGCCTGCCTCCTTCCTGCGTTGACCATCTGCACCGACCACTCATTTTTCCACGTACTCCGTACCTTACCGTGAGGAAGGAACATTGGAGTCAGGGCCAGGCACCGCACCTGGTCCCAACGTGCGGCGCGCGGCTTGCGGCGTGCCTTCTTCAGGAACATCGTGTTGGACCCGTCTTGGTGCGTCAGCTAAGGCACGGAAGTAAGGCAGGTCAGGTCGGGTAAACCGTAAAGTGCCTCAGGTACAGCAAGTGGCTGCCTCAAGTAAAACTACCTTTTCGTCTTGTTCCTGACTGTTTTCTGCGTGATGTAACGGAGAGAGGTACGGGTGCCTTATACCTACTACATTATACGTATTGGTGAGACACTTTTACAGAGTACATACCTATGACTGCGCATTGTGGAAGGCGCGGATGGATCGAGGCTGCATGTCATTGCCAGAGTCATCCTTCCCTGTTTGTTGCTGCCGTGCCGTCCGTACCTGACCTGGACCTGACCAAACTGACTTTTCACCGAACTACCTTACTACGTACTGCGTACACAGGCAGTAAGTGACCTCGCCCCTGCCCATATGAACCTTGTAAGTTTGGTTGTGCCTTCTTGAGTTCCTGCCCGTCGTCAGCCCGCGCAAAGTTCGGGCTGTGCCTTCCATTTGTCGCATCACAGGGCCTTGGCTTGTACCTTATCGCCTTATCCGCTTATCCTTATCGCCGCCCCTCCCTCGCTGCTGGTCAATTTTGCCCATGGCCCCCCTCACTCATCCCTCCACCTCCACCGTGGAAAGCCACACACAGGCACAGCACATCATCTCTTCCAGACTCGACCCTCTCTACTTGAGGGATTCTTGGATACTTACGTTGCCTTACCTTAATTGCTCTCTCTCCATCCATCGACATATCGAGTCATCCATTATTACCAGCTTACCGCTGGAAGAAATACACACCTAACCAACACATTGACGACGCCGAGCCGAGCCCCCCAATCCCGACCGCCGGCACACACACTTTTTACAACATCATCAATACTCCGTACCGTCCATCACATTTGACACTCTTACACGGATATCCATGATATCTCGCCCAGTGACACTTTTCAGCTTCCGTTACCAACCTCCCACCGCTCGTTGTCGCATCCACATCTTTCAAGACCACTTTCTACGGATACCTTCTATACACGACACTATTACCGATACAGCACCACACCACCCTAGTCGAAGACCTACATTCTACTCCATACACCAAGTAGCCGTGCCTCGGAGGCCAAGCATTCACGCATCCACGCACTCGCCCATCGTGGCACCGAATGCATCCTGCCGTTTATCCCTTTTGCGTCCGTATCCGTCCAACTTTGTCCCCGCCTACTCTACCGCCTACCCCTGCGTAGGGTAGCAGCACAGCGCATCGACAAGGAAAACGCCGCCAAAGTCAAAAGGTCCAGCTGCCAACAGCACAGGCAGGGCAAGGTTCTCGACGGTACGGTACCTTGCTGTACGGCTACGCTACAGCGTAATCCACAGGACGGGAATCCACTGCCTGGCGTATCATCCACCAGCACCCGCAAAAGCATCACCACCAACAACGGCGGCATCAAATTCCAAGTACGGAGTATTACATCGGCGCATCGCAACCTCGGGCCAGGTCCCTTACCTCACAGACTGGCTTGGCCGCCGTCCTTTTTGACTTTGACCTCGTCAACCTCGCAACTCGCACCCGTCAACAAACCCCCTCCGAGTTCCCAACCTGGCCACCAATCCCCTGCGATGCCTCGACCTTTCATCCTTTGTTCCTGGCAAACCCTCGAACCCACGGACAATTTTTTCCAAGACCAGCATTCGCATTGCGTCTCCCGTCTCTGCTTGTGTGCCTGCACTCGATCAAGACAGCCAGCCAGCCAGCCATAATCGGTACCTTACGTCTGGCCCACTGCCCTGTCTGGCACTGGCCACGCCGTCACAGCAACTCCGCCAACCAACCTCCCTGTGTGCCCCTCGCCCTGGTGGTGGCCCGGCGCTGGAGTCACCACGTTCTCCTCTCGCAGACGCCTCGTCGCTTCTCGTGCCCCGCTACCTTAGCGACTTGGGCTGGTGGTCGCCTACACCTCGCTCGACATTGTCCTCCGTTTCTCACGCGCCCGTCAGAGACCATCGACTGCCAGTTTACTCAAGGCGTTTTCCCGCCCGCAGACGGATGAGCAAGCCCCATTTCCCACCGTTCCGGCCACTCTCGCCTCCCGTCCGTCTCTAGTCCGTCCTAGTCCTGGGACATCGACCTCGACCTCGACCTTGACCCCCTCCCAACCGCCCGGCTGACTGGGATCTCACACCAAGCCGTCTGACTTTCATGTACCCCTTGTACCTCCCGCCAATCGACTCCACCAATACCACTACCGCCGCCAGGTCCTGGTTCTGACCCTGGCCCTGGCGTCCGGCCCTGGCCCTGGACCTGGCCTGCCTTGGGTCCACCAACTCTTTCTCGTACACGAGTACCGCCAGCGCTTCCGTGTGCTGTGACCATCATCAACTACTTACGAATCCTCCCTCGCCCTCACTGCAGACCATATGCTTTATTCCTTTCTCCCCCTCTCTATCGTTCCCAGCAAGTTTCGGTGCACAGAGAATTGCCTGGGCTTTGACATTTAACATATCGCCAAAGAAGACTCTTTTGTGCCTTTCAGCCCGCTCCCTCCAAGAATCAGGACCATCACAGCCTGCTCTATAACGCTCGGTACTTGAGCTGATATTCGGTCTATACGGATACTGCAAGTCAGCAACCTACGAAATCGTCTACTAAAACGCAAGGCACCCAGCTTGCAAACCCGTCAACTCGGATCTTGATTGGCATTGGACCGGACTACATTGGTTCTGCGATAGCCCACAGACACTCCCACCCAAATTCGCCGACTTGGTGCGCCGGATCCCCCAAGACGCACACGACGCACACCCCCAAGAGGAGGCTGGTTGGTTGGCTCCTCCAACCCATCTTAGACAAACTCCGCCCAGCTCTCGACACTACCTGTCGCTAGACTCGAACGAACGCAAGCAGGCGTAAAGCCGGAGGCAGGGGGAAGAAAAGTCAGCGAGGAACCACTGAGAACCACTTTACTGCAGCCAGCAGGGTCAGATCAGGGCACGTCTTTCATCATCGACCATTCATCGCCACACTCCCCTGGCAGGTCCTTTTCTAGAGCCGCCTGCCCCTCGCCTTGCTGTCTCCGTACCAACTTGTCTCTCTTCTCTTCGTCCTCCACTCTGCTCCGTTATACTACGAAATACGCAGTCGGTATCCGTCCTCAACCGCGCTACCGCTACCAAACCGGCCTTGCACCTTGTTCCAGCAGACCACCCCACTCTCCCAGGCCCGGGGGGAATAGATCATCGACGTCGGTCGCACTTCCATCGGCGCTCCACGACTCTCATCTCTACACACATCCGGCTCACGACACCTTTGTCGCCCTTTCAAAGCCCGTTGCTGCCGCCGCCACCACCACCATCACTTCCTCCTCCTCTTCCTCTACGCATACTTGGAACGGAGAGACATCCAAAGAGTTCGAAACCAGACAGCAACTTCTCGGATGACTTGATTCAGATTCGGGACATTTTTTCTTCTTTCTTCTTCCCTTTACCCCCTCTCATTCCGCCCTTTCCCCGCCCTTCTTCAGCCCGCTCTCCTCCCGGCTCAAATCATACTCAAATACTACCTTCCGTAGCCTGCACTCCCCGCACCTGTGTCGCTTTTGTGCTCGACTCGGCCTCGCGAGCCTGCGTCTGCACTTTCTCGTCCACAGCGAGAGGAATTCACCAGGCTGTCCTCCTCGACGCCCGCTTATCCTCAATCACAGCACAGTTTGAACATGGCCGCTGCATTTAGACCAGTAAATTCGCCATTACCTGGTGCCGATGTAAAGATGGACGACAAGATGATGACGACGTCACCAACCACACCGAAGCCAAGCACTGCACCGCTCCCGCGGACACCACAGCCCATGGCCGAGGACGTGAAGACGCCCACGAAAGCAACTTTCAGCAGTGGCAGTGGCACTACTGGTCTGGCATCCCAGAAGCCTTTGCCAAGCTCGCCATTTCCCCAGGCTGTTCAGGTTCCCGAGAGTGCCGAGAAGGTCAAGACCCCGACAAGAGCAAACTCACAACACTCAAGGAGATCAAGGGACTCGGAGGATGTGGACATGGACGAGTCCGACGGCGAAGGTGAAGAGGGATCTGACGACGACAGTGTGAATGCCGATGGTACCAGATCCAACAAGAAGAAGAAGTCACAGCGATTTTATTGCACGGATTACCCGCCCTGCAACTTGAGTTTTACCCGAAGCGAACATTTGGCCAGGCACATTCGGTAGGCTCACTATCGTCCCCATAGATGACGATCTTTGCTAATCGTCCCAGGAAACACACCGGCGAGAGACCATTCCAGTGTCACTGCTCGCGCCGTTTCTCCCGTCTCGATAACCTGCGACAACACGCACAGACGGTGCACGTCAACGAGGATATCCCCATAGATTCCTTGGCAGCGACTGGTGCTAGGTTCCAGAGGCAGATGCGCACTGAGCGTGTGCGCCAGCAGGGCGGCAGGGCTCGCGCATCAACAGCTGGCAGCGCGCCTGGTCCCGTCAGGGGTCACTCCAAGTCGCTCTCGACATCCAGCATCGCCAGCGTGGGCTCTATCGGGTCAGCTTTTGGACCTCGAGACGATATTCGACGACGCCCGCCGCCTCTCGTTATGGCAAGCGACCCCCGCTCCCGCCTGTCACTCGAATCCTACCGAAGTGCCGGAGACGGTCCATACGGCTATCGCCCTGTCTCGCCAACTGACTACAGCACACCGACGTCAGCCACCTTCTCTACCGGTCAAAGCAGTCCGCGATGGGGTTCGGCAATCGCTTCTCCTACTACCACGCACTCCCGATCTCACAGCATGTACTCTTCTGGCTCCCGGACTCCGGGCCGGCGACTCAGCGTGCCCTCCGGCGTCAATCCTTTTCAGTCACCGCACGGCGCACCAGTCAACAGGATTGTCTACGGCAATGGGCCTGTCAATACTTCCAATATGGGAGCCTTCTCCCCCGCCCCCAGCAGCCACCTGGCATCGCCGACAACGCCGACATCAGCATGGTCTGGCAGGAGGGACTCGACCTCATCTAACGCAGACGAGGCTTGGCGCAGGCGAACTTGGCATCCTGACACGAGGACCTTCAACACCAATACCAGCCACCTCAGCAACGTACTCACTCCCGGTCAACTTCAGCCGAATCCCGCGCCGCCCATCGCTAATGCGCCCAATCCTCAGCAGACGCTTCGGTTGCCTGGCATTGAATCCTTTGACCCTCTGCCATCGAGACAGGTGTCCCCCCCAAGACGAATCCCGTCGCCGATGATGGTCGATGCGGAGGGCGGTCACCGCCGGCCCATGCTTCCCGGCACCGAAGCTGTCGCTGATGAACGGCGGAATGTGGCCCAATGGGATATGAGCTTGCACCGGGGCCTGACAAGACTGGACATTGCCTCCAACACGACACCTCCTCGCGATAGCGCCGGGGCGTGGGCAAACGAAGTGAACCAGGCAGTGCAGGCACAAGCTGAGCAGGTTCGCTTGAACCCGCCGACTGTGCGATTCGAGGTCGACCAGCCCTCGTATGCCAACTCGGGTGCATTCACTCGCAATCATCAGCACACGATGTCGGCGCCGTCGTTTGCACACAGGGACACTAAACGCCACGGATGGTACCATGGTCCTATGGGAAGCAACGTTCACGGACCTCGCCCGGAAGCGCCCAGCCAAGATCCTCGTGGACCCCATGTCAACCGCATGGTCCATCCCAATATGGGTCACTTTGCTGGTTTTCCGGGACGACAGCCTGAGCCGCAGCAAGCCCAGCAGCAACAGCCCGGTAATCCTGACCCTCTGAGACGTTTGGAGGCGCTGGTGGCTGTTGCCACGAGCGAGGGAACCACTGCCACTGCGTACTGAGACTCTTGTGAATCATCAATACGCCTCTTTACAGTCCTTTTACCATGCCCCGAGAGGCGATGGTACATATACGCAACACGACTGACGAATTTCCTTCTCCCTTACTTGGAATCTATGTCGGCAGAGCTTTCAGTTTTTGCATGACATACAGTCGCTTTCTTATCATGATATCCCGTTTTCTATCAAGTTGGTGGGCAACTGCATTTTATCTATGGCAGGCGTTGATACATAGCGTTGAAATTGATTTCCTATCTCTCTGGGTGTCACCACCCTCATCTCAGCTCATCTGGATTACGGTCGACTTTTCCACTTTCTCTTTCTATTCATTTTTCCTTTCCATTTCGATATCCTGCTTCGACATTTACGGTTTCCTTTTCAGTTTGCCATCAGGTTTGGTTTACCATTGACGGTTTTTTTCTTTTCTGGCAGCGATTTCGCAAGTAGAATTTCCTTATCTTTGTTTTTGATTCCCCGTAACGCTTGCTCACGATCAATGAGATACCCACTCATTCCGGGATGATGGATTCAGTGGTGGATAGTAATGTGTCGCTCTCTCGGCGGTTGAGACAGACGGACAGTGGGCCTGCACGCATGTATATGGAAGCAGGCCAAGGAACGGAGGCAAAGGTTGGCGGATATGCGTGTGGACGAGATACCCGAGCTTGGTAACGACTGGCGGCTTTGCTTTATTGGAAGCCTGGTCGATGCTCACAAAGTTGGAAGCGATGGTTTCAAGACCATCACCAAGGATCGGGCGGTATACATGTGTCTGTAGGCGTACAACCGGAAGGAATAACGACGCACATGCTCTCAATGATTATCTTATCTGGAAACTGTTCACTCTCTCTCCTGGTGAATGATGTGGCCCATGAATTTGCTTGTGATGAGGGGAAGCGTACTAAAGTAGGGCGAGGGACGGCCAGCCTTTTTATGCACGATGATGTGGTTCATGTAAGCGGTGCTGCAGCTTGTCTATCAGCCGCCAGCCAATGAAGCAAGTTCAGTGACGGCGATCAAGAGATTGAAAGACGCGGGGGGGCAGGATTGATGGATTTGCGCCGGGTTCACACTTTGATTAGGGGAGTAATGACGGATGGTCTTTGAAGTTGGCCGTGTACGGACGGGGTGCGGATATGTCGCAACCCGGCTCGTTCGGGGGAATGCCGATCGTGTCTGCCGAGTTTTTTCTTCAGCGGTCAGGCCGTTGGGAGGTGGATCTGAGGGACCGGGGCTGGGAAATGCCGGTTCTATGCCGGTATGAACGCTTTCTCACTCCCCCGCCTGTATAGAGTTACTGGAGCTGTTTTCTGATTACTTCTGTGTCTTTTGAGGTTCGGGGTTTGGACGGGCCCCGGGAGTCCGTGGGGTATCATTGGCACGTCGAATGAGGAGTTTGAGCGAACTTTGGACGTTGTTCTTGGTTTTCTTTCAGTAGTATACAAACTAAGTAGGTAAGTAAGTTACAAGGAAAAGACTAAGTGTTGGCAATCGACGACTGCACGTTATTTTCGAGTAGGTTTTTCAGGTCGCCGACGAGGCCAGATATAGGACACGAGCTCCTTTTGCTTTGAGGGAATTCGTCCGATGATCTGTTTCGAGATATCCGGGAGTCGGGCGGAGCGGTTACTGGTAGTTCCCCAGTTTGAGCCCGGTAACAACGCGGGGGAAGAAGAGGAGGGCGGGGAAGAGTTGAAGACTTGTAGCCTGGAGAATGGAGTCGTTAGCTTGACACTTTGGTATCCACAATGTTACAAGAGACGAACGGGGTCGAGGGATGGGATGAGTATTTATTACCGACTCACCGGGTAATGTCCTCTGGTTCTGTCTCTTGAGAAGTACGGAAACTAGTCTACCCCCTCTTTGTAGGACACTTCATCTTCGTTCAACGACAACACTGATACACTTTGAGCACATCATGTTTTCTAAACCACCGAATTCCCCAGGCCTCCTCGGGACGACACTCCTCACCCTCGCCGCCCTCACAAGCTCAACCTCGGCATCCACATCCCCAAAATGCGACCCTTCAACCTTCACATTCCCCTCCACCCCAGGCCTCCAACACATCAAAACAACAGCCGTCCAAGTCCATAACTACAACTCCTTTCCAAACCGCCTCTCTGAAGCGTCCCTCGCGACAACATCCGCCTCCACGACCGGCATCCCCCCCTTCTGCAACGTCACAGTCTCCTACACGCACCCAGGCCACGATGACCTCGTCAACGTACACGTCTGGCTTCCCCTCGAGAAGAGCGCCTGGAATGAGCGGTTCATGGGGTTAGGTGGCGGCGGGTTCGTTGTCGGGGAGGTAGATGGCGATGGACCGAGTGCGGCGATTCAAGAAGGGTATGTTGCTGCTGTCACGGACGGCGGACACCTCGCGAGTTTGCGGCCTAATGTATGGGCTTTACGAAGCCCGGGGAACATTGATTGGCCGCTGCTGGTCAACTTTGGATACAGGAGTCTGCACGAGCTCGCTGTCGTGGGGAAGGCCGTTCTGGGGGCGTATTATGATGCTGAGGAGAGGTATAGCTACTTCAAGGGGTGTTCGACGGGCGGGAGGCAGGGGCTGGCTGTTGCGCAGCGGTATCCGGGGGACTTTGACGGGGTGTTGAGTATGTGTCCGGCCGTGGAGTTCCCTGCCATGGTGACGTCGTTGTATTTTCCGCAGTTGGTTATGCGGTGGAGGGGGTATTGGCCTTCTGGGTGTGAGTTGGGGGCGGTTGTGAAGGCTGGGGTTGAAGCGTGTGATTTGGGTGATGGGAGGAGGGATGGGGTTATCGGACGCTTGGGGGAGTGTGGGTTTGATGTGAGGACGGCGGAGGGGAGGGAGTTTAGTTGTGATGGGAAGGATGGGAAGAAGATTGAGGGGAGGGTTTCGAGGGGGGCGGTTGAGGTTGTTGAGGAGGTTGTGGGGGGTGTGCTGGATGAGGAGGGGAGGGAGATGTTTCCGAGCCATGTTCCTGGGACGCAGTTTGCTGGGTTGCTTGCCATGATGAATAGTGTCTGTGAGCACGAGACGGATCGAACAAGGTGTGTAGGTGTGCCGTTCTCCGTGACGGATGAATGGATCCGGCTGTTCATCGAGAAGGATCCGGCATTTGATCCGGCGTCGATGTCGAGGGAGACTTTCCGGGACGTCTTCCGGCGGGGAGTTGAGGAGTACGATTCCGTCATCGGGACGCCCATCCCGGATATGAGAAGATTCAGGGAGCGCGGGGGGAAGGTTCTCATGTGGCACGGTATGGCGGACCAGGCTATCTCTATCAAGGTCGGAAGGGGACTGTATGAGAAGGCCAAGGGGATCGAGGCGAAGCGCGGAGTTGAGATTGAGGAGTTTTGGAGGTATTTTGAGGTTCCTGGGGTGAATCACTGCGTTTCGATGTATGGAGCGCCGTTTCCCTGGAGTGCGTTGGAGAAGTTGAGGGCGTGGGTCGAGAAGGGTGTTGCGCCGGAGCAGTTGGATGCGAGGGGGTTCAAGATTGGAGAGGATGGGAAGGTGGTTGTTGATGAGGAGGTTAGAAGGATTTGTCTTTATCCAGAGGAAGGGGTTTGGAATGGGAAGATTTGGGTTTGTGTAAAGCCCGGAGAGAAGATTGAGGTGATAGAGGAGAAGGAGGAACTTTGAGGGAGGTTTTGAGGAATGCTTGCTTGAGGGCATCAAACAAGGTATCAGGGTGATGAGGCACGTTGGTTGTTTACAATCCGGCCATGGTATTTACACATATGATATATACAACAACATTTACACCACCTCACTTCCATCGTCTGAAAGGATGTGCCTCGGTATTGAACACAAACTCATCCAAACTCACCAACCCAGGCTCGCTAAAGATGAGATAAAAGTACTTCAACGTCTCCCCCATCCAGAACGACTCCATCGAGTCCGACTGCGGAGGCCGTCCCTCGGCCGTGACATCCCACACCGCCGTGTTCGCCAGCTCCGTACTCGTGGCGTTATCAATGGACGAAAACATTTCCCACGCCGAGTCTAACAAGCTCGTGTCGGCTGTGGTGCGGTACATGATGAACACACTTTCAATTGCCTCGGGGCGGAGAATATAGCGCCGGTCCGGAACGGCGGAGAATCCTGGAACAAGGCGGTCCTTTTTGATGACTTCATCTGCAGTGAGAACCTCGTCGTCGTCCTTTCTTTCCGCCCGTTCGAGGACGTGCTTTTTGAAGAGGGCTTCATCCCATTTGCATTCCTGCTTGGAGGGGCAGGGAACCATGTAAAACGTCTCCGGCATGATGCCATGCGGGAAAGACTTGTAAGCATACACGCACCCGTCAACGAGTTTCCTCGCCACAGATACCGCGTCGGGATGGTTGAACAGTTTCCCACCAAGTGCAAGAAGCCCTCCCATGAAGCAAACAAGGTGCTGGCCCTGCGGCTCCTGTTCGATGGTCCGTACGCCGTTGTTCTCACGCGAGTGTGCCTGCCCCGCAATGAGGATATCCTCGTTTGTTGGCGTCATGGGCCGGAAGAGGTTGTGTTCGATGGCAGGTTTCACGGCGGATTCGTACATGGACTTGTACATCCCGCTGCGTCCGCCTACGAGAGCGGACATTTTGGGGAGGTATTCGTAGAGGGAATCGGCCATGGCGCCGAGGGTGAAGTCGTCCCCTTGGTTGAAGACTTCGTCTTTGGGGTTCACGACTAGAGGCCAGAGACCGGGGATGTTGGTTTTGTTTTGTTGGCGTTCGAAGATTTCCATAATCCGTTGGGTTGCGTCCCAGAACTTAGGGTCGCCTGTCAGTATTGAGAGGCGTGTGAATTCCATTGATAGGCTTCCTATCTCCGCTACCAGAGCACCGTTGCCGACGTCCTGGGCGTCACCGCGGGCTGCATCGCCCACTTTCCAGCGAGTTATGGGCATGCGGTTGGGCGTGTCGAAAGCCTTGTAGAGCATCTCGCCGACTTCAGCTGCTTTCCGGAGGAGTCGGGCGTCGCCCGATAGGTCAAACGCCGAAAGGAAGCCGCCCAGGTAGCGGATCGTTGTCTCAAAGACGTTGATTTCGTCGAGGTCGGTGTGCCTGAAGTCGATTGTCGCGGCGGCGGCTACGGCCTCGTCGAAGTCGGACTTCATGTCCATGACCCAGAGCGTGTCGAGGGAATCCACGAGGGTCGCGGCCCAGCCTCCGAACGTGTTGCGCCGGCCGCCTGATATGGGGGTCAACTCGTCCGAGAGCCAGGCGTGTTTCCGGTACGATGACCAGGCCTTTTGAAAGGTCTTTTTGACGGTCTGCTGGCGCTCTTCGCGGACGCGGCGTTGAGTGCTCGTCTCGGGCGGGAAATGGGCTTGGACCTGGGGGAAGCGAACGGAGGGGAAGGCGGGGAGCTGACGGAGGGGCTCCGGGGCCGAGTGGTGGACTTTGACGGTCCGCCAGAAGTATGTTTCGTCTTGTTCTGTCATCCATTCTATCGGTTTTGGCGGAATGGCTGATGAGGATGAGGATGTTGGGAATGTGGGTAGGCCGCCGTCGTTGTGCCATAGGAGAAGGAGGAGGAGGGAGACGGGGAGGCCTAGGAGGACGATGCCTGGCATTTTCCGCCTTGCCAGGAGCATCTTCTCTCTGTGAGCTTTTGGAAGTGTCCAGGTTTCTCTGCACTCTCCGGTCTGGATACACACGTGTCAAACGTGGATATCGCGTCGTGGGAAGTGAGAGAATGGAAAACACGCGAGGAAGGGCAAAAGAGTGAGAAAGAGAGTGAGAAACTAAGACGGTTGCTGTTTCCTTTGCTTCGCGCCTAGAATTTGATGTTCGCTTACGTATTTTGGATTGCGGCCCGGCCGGATTTCTGTCCTTATCAACCCCCGTCTACGAGTTGTTGGTGGGAAACTTGGAATGGGCCTCAGGGGTTGCGGACTTGTTTGCTCGTTTATCTCCTTCTTTCCTTATTTCTGTTGTTCCCCCGTTTGCTGTGTCGCCTGAGGAGGAAGAACCAGAAGAGGGGGGCGGGAAGTCGGGCGCTTAGAGATTTTGGGTTGCTGCGCGGGCGGCGGCGCCCCTGGCAGTCATTCTCAATGCGTATGCATGTGAGGTCTGTTGGTTTGCGCACTGGTTGTGATCCTTGTCGTTCACATCTTGGCGGTTGACCGCAACTGGTTTGACGCGGAGGATTGGTGGTCTGAGGGCTCGGAGAGGGATGCAAAGCAGACGCATCTCTCAGGCAGCTCTGTGTGCCTGAAATCCATACGGCATGGTACGGATAAGCGATCGAGGCAGCGCAGTAACTTTGGCGATTCGGCTATATGACCACTTCGGCTCGCTGCAGCGTCGACTTTTGTCTGTTGGACCAGGGATCATGGGTAGCTCGGTCTGGGCATGGCGAGGGCCGCTGCACCTTCCCATACCCCTTGCTTCAACTCCGGGCCACCGGCCTTGCTACTTAACGGCGAGAGTCAAATTCAAGTGAGTGGGATGATATCTCCAAGTCGAGTCGAGCCAGGTTCCAGAGGTACAGTACCCGGGCCTGATGGCGTCAAAAGTCTCAAAAGCCCACGATAAAAGGTTGAACGGCGACCACATCAGAGACCCTCCAAGGCTAACTGCTGCACAGTAGTAACGCGCGCCCAAAGCGCCCATTCTAATTTCGCTCAATATGCAGCTTGACGCCGGGCAACGTGATTTAAGTGGTCGTACCGTTCCGTCGGGACGGAAAGTCCGCTTGTGGCTCCGTGTCATTGGTCATGTTTCTTACTAGCTTCAGGATATGAACATGGGGTGTTGTCTTGGCCATCCTATCACAGCAGGTGAGATTGGTGGCTTCTATGCTGGGACCTGAACCAACTGACGGATCTGCATGTTGGAGAGACACTGTGTCGGCAGGTGGAAGAAAGACAGTGCGAGAGAGTCTACGATGCCTCCGACTCTAGTGGCTGTTTAGAGTTGGCCAGATTCTGTTGCAAGAGGCTGAAAAGGGCTGGGTGTACCAGGCTGTTGTGGTTTGATGTGGGTGTCTGAAGTGAGCGGCGCAGCCCGTGGAGCTGGAGTTGGAGTTGCGGTGGGAGTTGTGGCAAGTAAGAAAGAGTTGATAACTTGCTGATGCCTCTCTGCAACCCTCTTGCCACAATCTAGGTATTTGCCTACCTCTCCCTTGGGAAATTCCCTCTATTGTGCAGTGCCTATTGTGCAGTGCCTTCCAGGAACATCCAACTCGTCAAGTTCAGTCGGGAACCTGGAGTTCCTGGTTGATAGGAGCAACAACATCATGGCATCTTTCCCGTTCTTGTTCCTCCTCATCCTCAACGTCCTCCCTCATGTGGCACGAGTAAGGGCCGCCTGCTACTACCCAGACGGCAGCATCGCCCCCAATGATACACCATGCCAGGACCTCACGGCTGAGTCGACGTGCTGCGGGCAGGGCTACGCGTGCCTCTCGAACGGAATGTGTCAGGCGACGGGCAAAGAGTTATCCAAAGACGGGGCAACGGAGCTCGTAAGGGGAGCGTGTACCGACCGGTCCTGGCGGAGTTCGAGTTGTCCTCTGTTCTGCATCAACCCGGAGACGGACAATGTGGCGGGTGGGATTGGCATTGCAAAGTGTGACGGGACCGTTGAAGAGTTGTACTATTGTATTAACTCGGTCATGAATACGGTCAACTGCACGGCCAAAAAGAATGTCTTATTCTTCCAGCGTAAGTCGTCTTTCTTCATCTCCCGCCTGTACCTCGTACTCTTCAACTCGGCGCAATTCTTTAGGTAAATTTCTGACCAACTCATCATCGCAGAATCACCCACTGCCATCACAACAATTGGCGTGGCGGCTACGCCAACTCCTTCATCATCGTCAACCACATCAGCGTTAATCGCAACAACCGCTATTATCTCCCCTTCCGCAAACCCTTCAAGCGCACCAAACCCGAGCTCGGTAGCACTAAGCAGCGCAACCCAAAGCCCACACAGTAGCCCAACAAGCAGTTCCGAAACCAGCCCCAATGTAAAGCCGGAAGCAACAAATGATAAGACAGTCATAATCGGCGCAGCTGTGGGCGCTTCCGTGGGTGGTCTTGCGCTCGGGGTCCTAGCGGCATGGCTGTTCATCTTCCTCCGTCGCCGGAAGCGCCGTGCTCGAGAAGAGGCCGCCGCCAATGCCCAGGCACAGGTGGAACATTACACACCGGGGCCGCCGCTTGCTCAATACGTCAGTCCGCCTGTATTTGATCAGGTTTACGAGGCACCCAATGAGTGGAAACCTCCGTTGGTCTCGGATCACTTTGCTCCTCAGGAGCTGCCTGCGTGGCAACCGGAGCCTCGCAGAAGTTGAACTACTGTCGACGGAGGGCGCTCTTTCTTTAGATTCTCACCTTATGATAGCATACAAGATACCACAGTCGGCTTTGGGTAGATAGAGGCATGCCTTAATATGATAGATAGTATAATCTGTCTCACGAGTTGAGTTGGTTGGACGCCTGGATGATTTTAAACCGACATGTTTATGTACTTTTATAACAATACTCAATACAAACAAGAAGAAGTCCCATGACTAGAGTAGGGGGGTAACAACAGCATCATTTCGCTCAGTACCAAAGAGCCTTGTTCCAGAACTTGGCCTGGGCATTCGCCAGGTCGTCCTCCTCAAGGTAGAAGGTGGTGTTGAAGACGAGCTGGGTGCCGGCAGCAGAGCTGTTGCCGTACTGGGGCCACTCAATCTTGTCCTCGGGCCACATGGTGTTGGGGTTGCCGGTCAGGACGAAAGACATGAGGTACTTCTGCATCATGACGGCGACGGTGGCATTGACGGAGCTAGAGCCACCGCCAGGTCCGCCGGCACCACCGGAGGGAGGACCACCGGCGCTGGAGGAAGCTGTGGTGGAGGCGGCGGCGGAGGTAGCGGTCGAGTTGGATGTGGTGGTGCCGGTGCTGGAGGTGGAGTCGGATAGGGAGTAGGTGCTGTACCCTATGTGATGCGTTAGATGATATGTGATATATAGAGTAGGAGAGAAAATAAGCTTACAGTAGTAGCTCTGGTCAGTGCCGTGAGTGGCCTGGTCAAGGGCAACCATGGCGTTCCAGGTCTGATTGTTCATGGCGTGGGTCAGGGCCAGGTTGTGGGCAGTCAAGTCAAAGTGCTGCTTCATGTCGGAGAAGCGCAGACCAGGGGAGGTGTAATCATCCTCGGGGTAAAGCGACAGAATCTCGTCAACAACGGCATCGTTGATGGCGGGGAAGAAGATGCGGAGGTAAGCGGCAACATCCTCGGTGGTGTTCACACCGTCGTAGGCCTGGCCGTTGGCCTCGTGCTGTTCGTGGGTGATGACGACGGGGCCGGAGAAGTTGAAGCGGCGCTGGTAGAACTGGGCCTCGTAGGTGTCGGCGATGATGTCGCCGTCGACGCGGGGCTGGAATTGGTAGTCGTAGGCGTCCTGGACCGTGGTGGCTGCCGTGTTGAGGGTGTCGAAGTCGATGGAGCGCATGCACTCGAGGCTGCCGCCGGAGCAGCCGGCCTCGGTGGAGACGTTTTGCCAGAAGGCTTCGGCGTGCTGGTGGCCGGCGCCGGGGACGAAGCCGGGGGACATGACGTAGGCGCGGTTGTAGAGCTGTTCGGCGTGGCCGGCGAAGCGCTTCAAGGGGGTCAGCTTAGATGCCTAAAGGTTAGTTGAAGACGAGTACTTACAGTCATCTGGAAGAGAGTCTGGGAGCCACCGGCAGAGAAGCCCACGGCGGTGACATCGTCGGGGTTACCGCCAAAGTTGCTAATGTACTTCTTGGTCCACTCGAAAGCGGCAGTGACGTCCCAGATGGCGGTGTTGGAGGTACCACCCTCGTGCAAGAAGGTAGGGCCATTGGCAAGGCCAGTCATACCGAGGCGATAGTTGTACGCGACGTAGACGAAGTCGGTGGAAAGGTCAAAGAGACCCTCCGGAGTGTTCTCGGACTTGCTTCCGCCAGTGAAGCCACCACCGTAGGTCCACACCATCACGGGGAGGTTCTTGCCCGCAGCATCGGCGGGAGCCCAGACATCGACGTAAAGGCAGTCCTCGGCGGAGCTGCAGGCGACATCGGCCGAGGCCAGGTCACCAGTGTTGACTTCCGTCTCGACGGGGGGCGCTTGAGGCTTGGCCCATCGAAGGTCGCCGGTGGGAACGGCGGCGTAGCGGATGTTTTGGTACTTGTAGTAGCCGACGGACTCGTTACCGGCGGTGGCGACGACGGTGCAGTAGTCGAGGGTCACAGACGGGAGGGATCCGGAGCCGGAGGTTGCTGTCGGGGCTGGGGCGGTAGTCTGGGCCGCGGCCGAAGCTGCCATCAGCAGGCAGGTGTTTATGAACTTCATCTTGGTTTCGAGCTTTGAAGCGAAGGTGAGCAGGCGATCGGGATGTGTTGTTGGTTTGCGATGCTCCTCAAGAACCTCTACACTTCAGGGCTGACATCGTGGGCTGTTTATATAACAGAAAGCCTCCAACTTCAACTCCCTTTTTCGATCGGACTTTTCACCAAGACGGTGATCGCCGTGCTAACCGGTAAGAGGGACGCGTCCTCCGAGCCGGGTGACGTTGTCCACATCTGAGCCTCATTTGCAAATCGTCATGCTAGCCCCTCGGGAAACCCAACATTAAGGGTCATTTCGACAAACAAGCGTCGTGGGGAAAATGTCTGGGTCTGCGAGGTTTGTTTTTAGAAGGTTAAACAAATGCACAATTGGCCGATTTGGCTCGCAACAGCCCCACCGAGAGGGCCTTATTAGTGGGATGAACTCTTAGTGTGGCTCATGTTCATGAATCGCCTGCGCGGCTTCGCCATCCCTTGGCTCTAGCGCAAGGAACTTACCGTCCCCTTTAACTCGATTTTGACTTTTCTGAGTCCACATGTCTAAACACGTCCTCGGCGACCTTTGCTTTCCCCAGGTTCAGGATTCGAGAATAGTCGTTGGTCCTTGGGGGCGGCAAAGGTTGAAGCTTGACGCGCCGATCTTCAGCCCAGCCAAGCCCGGCGGAGTGTGGGAGGTGGGGTTGAAGCGAGAGACGGGCCGGAACTAATATCGAGAACATCTCTGATCACATCAGTGATCACACTCTACCCACTTCCCGAGTTACGATGAAAAACGTGGATCTGATAAATGGGTATCAATTCAATCTTCGGATCTCCCGACAAAAGTGCTCATATCTTGATGGTTTAGGGAGTTCTTTACCCACGTCAGTCACCCTTCGCTCTTTTCCTACCCCTCAACCGATAGAGCCGACCGTTAAGATGAATGATTGCTGTTAATGACCAATCGCGAAACCGAAACTGAGATGCTTCCAGGATACTCGAAGTCGATACACCATCCCGCTCAAATTATCATTCCTGCTCGGTAGCATCTGAATTACTGGCCCATTACACTATACTCCTTGTCAACCATTACCAATTCTGATCAACTCATGTTAAGACAATCTCTTTAGCGACCACGACCACGAAATCTAGCCACATCCGTTTCGCCAGATATTCCATAAACATCAGGCAACTGGGACATGGCTTCTGACTGGTCACGATCTCCACTTTGGTGAGCGTCTCCATGTGCTGGTAGTGGAATAAGATCTCGAGCCTGATCTGTCTGTCTCGATCATCCTCGTTCTCAGTAAACAGCTGATGTTTATGCGCGACGAAGCAAAGCAACTGAGCTACAACGTGACTGGCGTGGTACAAGCCCCTCACAGAAGCAGAATCTAACTCGTGTTCGTCAAAGGTGAACCCGATTCTCTTCGCAAAGCTCAGCGTCTTGTGAGCCCAGTAGTTGGAGTCCAGCCTGCTGTAATCGTTGCCACCAAACGGGGACTGGGAGCCACCACCAGTCCAACCGCCAACGGCAACAACCGGCTCAAATAGTCTGCCTCGGAGGAGAACCCCAATTGTCTGATCCTGTTGCGCGATTGGGATGCCTCGTCTCGGATTTATCAAAAGAGCAGTCTTCGCGACTGGCGATTTGACAAAACGGGGTTGGAATAAATTTGCGAAATCGGACTTGGCGCCTTGGGCTTGTAAAGGAGGCGCAACTCCGAGAAGTGCCCTGATATGTCTTCGACGACTCTTTGACTTCAATAGTTTCTCCGTGTAGTCGACATGTCGATACTCCCTCTCTTCGTCGTTTCTCTCATTCTCCTCGGCAAAGTCTGCATCGACACGCCCGTCTCGATCTTTCTGCTGCGCATTTGCCCCGGCGGCGAGGAGTATCCCGACTAATTCGACGCGGGTCCAGAAAGCTGCCTCCATTAGGGGTGTACGGCCTCGGTTGTCACCTGCATTGACGTCTGCGCCTAATCGTAAGAGTTCCTGAACGTTTGTGAGATTGCCATGAGCTACCTCTTTAGATAGCCTCGAAGATCCTAGAGTTCCTTCAATGCGTAGGTCGTGGTTGAAGTGAGGGCAAGTCGCGTAGTCGTGGACGCAACCCCAACGATCCTCTTTTTCACTTACTTCTGTGTCAAGTTTCAGAGATCCTCTTGTCCGGGCTGGGCCAATGTCATTTTCTTGTCTCTCGTTTCCAGAAGGAATAGCGTGGTCTTTGACACTGATGTTCTCAAACCGGTCCGTCACGCTGATACGATGATCCAAACGGCTGAACTCAGGCAGAGCGTTCAGTCCAGATTTTCTGAAACCAACGGTTTTAAAATACTGAAAGTGTGATCCTTCGTTCTTTTCGGCAGTAGATGTCTTGATCTCCCAGGAAAGCCATCTCACAGCATCGTGCTTCTGAAAAGGGAAGACAAGCCTGTATGCGTAGCCGGCGGTATGGCATGGTGCAACAAAGAACCACATGGTCGCAGGCTCTAATCCTCGAAAGGTGTAAGGACTGTTTGAACTAGGCTGGCGTAGACTCTCATCGGCGCTGGGGAAGAAGCTGATTGAATGCTCATGAGGTTGCTCGCAGAAAGGGCATTCGGCGAGCGCCCATGTCGTGTTCCATCGTAAGACTCTCGCAATCGCTCGAGAGCCGTTTAATCGCTGGAACTTGGAAGCTAACGATGATGATGGGATCGCCGACTTTTTTGTAGTCGAGGCCATTTCAAGTCGTGATGGTTTGCGTTCGTGCGGGCTGAGGGCTGAATAATGACATGCGCCGCGAGAACTTGGGGAAGAGAGAATGAAAAACTGGGAATCAGGAATCTCAATTCTCACACCTGTTTCGATCTCGATGACTTGTTTCAATGTTCGAATAACGGTTTTGGCCTAGGTCAAATATCGAAGCTTAGTAACGGATTAATCCGATATGAGGACCAATCAAATATGATGGTTGACCTCGCATTATTACGGCGAGCTTACTTCTCATCATGGTCTTCCCTCGTACTCCCGTAATGAATTTTGAGTTTCTGAGACCTGTGTCAAGTGCTTATCAGCGATGAAATGGGACATTTGTAATTGATGACTCTGCTGACCTTGGCAGTGATTCGGGTTAGGTATTCGTCATACCGAACACGAGCATCCAGGACATGGCTATTGCTATGATATAATGTGACCACTCAACATGATCTCATTACGTTATCATTATCATGAGTCTACACACTAGTATCATTGGAGATTCTAAAATCAGGGCCTAATACTATGGCGTCATACTGGAGAAGTTGCGAAGTCTCCATAAAGCGTGAAGCACATATTGAATGGAAACTCTAGGGTCTCTATGAAACAGAGAGACAATTGAGAATTGAGGTCACAAGTGACTATCCCTGTCACTGGTCCTAAACGCCGTTTCCTGCGAGCCTCCTTCGATCAAAATCATGGCTAATGTCATGCAGCACTTTTACTTACTAAAGTTCGACTCCGAGGCTTATCTGCGACTAAAGAGTCAAGTCTCGCATTGATAGAAAAGGTGAGAAACAAGTCAAAAGAACTTCTTGACCGTTGAGTCCATCTCAGTCCTAGTGATTTTTATTGCTGAGTGCTATAGCTTGCAAATACATTCTCACGTCTAAAATACTGGAAGACATGTGTAGCAAACAATCCATAACAGAACATTTCCTAGACACTTACACATCGCTCCACAAATCTTAAAGAAGCCCTTCACGAGAATCAATCCAGACACGAGCAATCACCATCATCACTGATATATCGCTGCTATCGGGGATGTTTGGATATGTAATCATCTTTTGACTGTTGCTGGGTTGACGACTGTTGAGACACACGTCAGCAGGGCAACGCCTTTCAGCTGGCACACAGCTCAACGATCCGGTACTAAACTGCTTACTTTTGTATGTGAAAGAAACAATGAATGGGCGGAGTCCATGATTGCCTTGGAGATGGAAATAGGTGTCAGAGGAGCTGCTTGCAACAGCCCAGGCTATCTTCCATGTGAACCCTTTTCTGTCGATATTTCAACAGCGATTGTGGACACAAGTCGTCTTGTATTGGTCTGCCTGAGATGCATAAAGGTTACCAAGTGTTGCATTGCAGTTGCCATCGTCTGCGTGCATCAAATCATTGAGGGATGCCGTGTTCCAAATATTCGCAATACGCGATTGAGACCCAAAGCTATTTGATTTCAGTCTCAGGCACTTAAGTCTTTGAAGTTCACATCATGTTCATGCGATGTTGGCGATCAGAAGTTAGACAAAAGTAGTTCGTTGCTAGCGTACCTTATTTTCGGGATCCGCTCATCGCCCTTCATTGCGTTCTAGCCCGCGGGACGCTAACTTTGCGGCCACACGAAGCGTCTTCCTGAACCATGGTAGAGCCATCCAAGTAGTGCCCGAACCATCCTTCCTGGAATTGCCTTGTATGAACCCTCCAACGACAAACCACAGACTCATGCACTTCACACGAAACAGTTGGCAGACCCCCTCGTCCTGCAAAAAAAAGTTTTTTTATATCTCGAGTTCTGCCCAATCCTTTTGTCGCAAGCAGAATACCAAGAGTCAGCGTGGGGATTGGCGACTCCCTTGGCTCAAAAGGGCTAGTCTGGCTTCCATGTCTTAGTATCAAAATGGCAAAGTCAGCTCGACAAGGATCAGGATGTCGGAATACCGGAAATATCTGGCCAGATAGATTAAGAATGGTAGTGCTAATGATTACGATTCCAGGCTAATTACCCCACAACATGAAGAAAAACTGCCACAAAATGAGACCGATGTCTCACCCAAGCTTCAACGGCTTTCTGACTCGGGCCAACGACAGGCCACTGACCAGCAAACTGACGCATCCACGCAATATTTAGCCCCCATTACCCATTACTACAACCTTACAACTCCCTCACAGCGAAACTGTCTCTTCTCTTCTACTTCCTTCGATGTTATCTACATCTCTTGAGTGACATTCATCTCGACTAGCAGATGAAGAATCCTTCTATTGCCAAGAGAATGAAGACCA